GAGCAGGGAGCCCGATGCGGGACTCGATCCCGGGACTCCAGGATCATGACCTGAGCCGAAGGCAGTCGCTTAACCAACTGAGCCACCCAGGCGCCCCTCACACTCTCTTTTTTTAAGTATGTCACAGGCCTGAGGCTCACAGGTCACTAGTGTTTCGGTCAGCTAATTTCCGTGTGGGGCTGCCTGTCCCCAGCCGAGAACTCCAGCATGATCCGGGAGCACACCCTCCTTCCAACATTAGGCTACACGTAGGGTACTCAGGCAGGACGTCTCGAAGGGGCCAGAAGGACAATCCCACTCAGAGCAACGAGGGCTCCCGTCACGCACAGCTCATCTCTGACGGCCCTTGTACTCAAATCCAGGACTCCCCAGCTCCTGACACCACAGGGGTGCCCGTGGAGGAGGAGGACCCCTTCTTCAAGGTCCCTGTGAATAAGCTGGCAGCGGCCATCTCCAACTTTGGCTATGATCTGTACCGTGTGAGGTCCGGCCTCAGCCCTGCGGCCAACGTGCTGCTGTCCCCACTCAGCGTGGCCACCGCTCTCTCTGCGCTCTCGCTGGGTGAGTTCTCAGATGCGGATGGCCCCGGGGTCCTGGAGGCCCCCGCATAGACGCGGGCCCCTCAGGGAGGGGCAGAGAGGTGCTGAGAGAGCGGCCGCCCCGCGATCCCTCCCTGGCTCCACAGAGGGCGCCGACCACTGCCGACCCAGGGACGTGGCCTCACGACCACTCATTGTCGGGATGACTTCAACACTCATTCCATACACGAGCTTCTGCGTGCCAGCCATCCAGCTAGACGCTGGGGGTGCCCCGCCCGCAAGCAGGCGTGGTCCCTGCCCTCACCCGGTCACAGCTGTTCCCGGGGGGAGACTCGGGAGCAGGTGACCGCAAAACGTTCTGGTAAGAGCTGGGACCGGAGAAGCCCAGGGGCTTGAACCTTCCCTCCTGCCCTTGTCGCTCTCTCTAGGCCTCCTGGCCTTTGCCTGCTTGAGGAAAATCTTGTTTTTCTTCCACTGCCTTCGAATTTCTTGCCCACCTAGAATGCCTCCAGTATCAACAGTGGAAGACCAAGAGCGTGGTGTCCCCGTCCTGTCCCCGGAGCTGGCCTGACCTACGCCCGGGTGGCCCGTTACTAACGCTCCCGCCCTGGTCTCTCTGGCAGGAGCGGAACAGCGGACAGAATCCACCATTCACCGGGCTCTCTACTATGACCTGATCAGCAACCCGGACATCCACGGCACCTATAAGGAGCTCCTTGCCTCTGTCACTGTCCCCGAGAAGAACTTCAAGAGTGCCTCCCGGATCATCTTTGAGAGGAGTGGGTCACCTGGCTAGCCTGGGATGCCTGAGGAATATGGGGCTCTATGCTGCACGGGGGGGGGAAATGGGGGGTTCTTCCTAAACACTAGATCACGGCTGCCCAGGCTGGGCCTGGCGCTGGTAGGCAGGCAGGGGCCCCGTGAGCTCAAAGAGGATCAGAAAGAGGAAGTAGACTGAGGGCGACAGTGGGAGGGCCGGGGGAGGGCGGTACCCTGAAGAGAAAGAGCAATGAGTGAAATTCCTTGTTCCCTGTCCTGGGGAAGCTGGCACAGAGTCTCGGGAAGTCAGGGCCTGCTGCGCGGTAAAGCAGAGCCTCAGCCCGGCGCGCTCTCCAAGAGCGGGTGCAGGTGAGCGCTCAGAGCACACTCACTTCTGCTTCCTCTCTTCCCAGAGTTGCGGGTAAAATCCAGCTTTGTTGCCTCACTGGAGAAGTCCTATGGCACCAGGCCCAGAATCTTGACCGGCAACCCTCGCTTGGACCTTCAGGAGGTTAACAACTGGGTGCAGGCCCAGATGAAAGGGAAAATCGCTAGGTCCACCCAGGAAATCCCCAGTGGAGTCAGCATTCTCCTCCTCGGTGTGGCTTACTTCAAGGGTGAGGGCTTCACTTCTCCTTTGGCCAAGGGTGGGTGGTGGGTGTCAGAGGGGCTGGGGAAGGGGGGACGTCAGAGACAGAGCTCAGCAGGAACGGAGAGGCGAAGCCAGAGGGCAGCCTGGGAAAGGCGCCTGCCTGAGGGCTCCGTGCTTGTCGTTGGTCCCAGGCAAACATGTGGTGCGTGTCTACAAAGTGTAAGAGGCCGTGCACAAAGCCCAGCAGAGAGAAGAAAGCGCTAGCTCTCCTGTGCCTGTTTGGGGGTGGGCACCGTGAGATTCGGGCCGGAGTCAGATGAGGGTCAAAGCCCAGCTGGGCCTTCCCTGGCGTCGAGCCCTGCACAGGCCTCCCGGCCTTCCTGGCTCCCTCACCCCTAACACGGGCTGACACACTTACTTCGGAGGCTGGCTGTCTACATGGTCTCCTGTCTTCACATCCACCGGGGCACTGTGCCCGGGGCACAACAAGGATTCAACAAACCGTTGTTAGTTCTCGAACAGCACCCTGCTGTGGTGACGTGCCCAAGATTCCTCCACGGACCGTGTGAGGCCGGCCCCATTCAGATAAGACTTGGGTGGGATTTGGGGCAACCTCTCCTTAAAATGCTTTATAACCGTCTATCAGGCAGTAGCCAGTGGACCCCTGACCTTGAGAGAGGCCCTACTTGAAGCACCGATCTCCAGAAAGTGAGAGAAGCCGTTACAGGTCAGCATATTAAAGGTCCCCTTGGTAATCACCTGTGAGCATTGGCCAGGGCCTCCACCCCTCTGAGCTCTGGTGCTTTTCTGGATGTGAGAGGGGTGATATTGGGGTCCCTTGCAGCTCTGACCTCCTTTGATCCTGTCCCCCAGACACCTCACTGCAGAAGGAGACACCAGTTGACTTTTCTCCCAGGCCATTGCAGAATTTGTATGATCCAGATGGTCAAATCAATGATGCCTCCTATTTCCTCCCGAGTCTCTACATGGAGGGTATTCAGGCCCTTGACATATTGTGGTCCAGCCCGCATGTTCTGAGACAGAGCTGTTCTCTGACGGTCCGGGCCTCTAAGATTCCTTTAGCCAGGCAGCTTTCAACAATAGGCTTTGGTCTCCCGGCACCGTCCCAATGCCTGCCTGGTCTCCTGGGGCTCAGGGCACTCCATCTGTTTCATTCCAGGGCAGTGGGTAACAAAGTTCGACTCCAGAAAGACTTCCCTTCAGGATTTCCACTTGGATGAGGAGAGGACCGTGAGAGTCCCCATGATGTCAGACCCTAAGGCCATCATACGCTATGGCTTCGACTCTGATCTCAACTGCAAGGTCTGTAGGGGCCGGGTGAGTGGTGGGTCGGGGGAGGACAGAGACAGGCAGGATGGCATAGTGGGAATAGGATGACCTTTGAGATGGGACAGCTGTCTAAATTCTGCCCGCTGTGTGGCTTTCAGCAAGTCAATAGCTTCTCTGAGCCTTTCTTCTTAAAATGAAGGATAGGTATCGAAACTTATCCTCTTAGGGTTTGTTGTAAGGATTAACAGATAATGTGAAATGGGCTGAGACTGGGCAACTCACATGTTGGTGTTGTCTTGTCTTTTTTCCCCTTCTTCCTCTGCCTCTCTTTTTCTTTCTTTGGCGGGAACTTTTATTTCTAGAATTCAAAGCCAAACTTAAAAAAAACCTGTCACACACTCCAAATTGCTGGCATTCTAAGTCTTTCACATATACCTCACATCTTTTAATTCTAAGTCAGTAGTTCTTAAACCTTCTTCTTTGGGAATCTGACAAAACGCCTAAAACAGTTGAGAGAAATGTCACGTATGCACACGCACATATTTCCGTATGTGGTTTCAGGGGCTGTTAGGACTCCTGATGCTGTTTGTCCCATGGACCTAAGGTTAAGAACCTCTGCTCAAAAGACCCATTTTATGTTTTATTTTGTTCTCTATAGATTTTATTTATTTATTTGTCGGAGAGAGAGAGCGAGAGCGAGGAAGAGCACGAGCAGGGGGAGTGGGAGAGGGAGAAGCAGACTCCCCGCCGAGCAGGGAGCCCGCTGCGGGGCTTGATCCCAGGACCCTGGGATCATGACCTGAGCCGAAGGCAGACGCTCAACCAACTGAGCCACCTGGGTGCCCCTAAAGACCCATTTTTTGTTTTACTGCTTCTGTGTTGCTGTACTCAACACCCCCCACTTCTAGTCCAGGGCTCTGTATATAACAGATGATCAGTCACTACTGGCAGACAATCTTTGGGAGAAAACACAGACCTGGAATTCAATTCTAGCTCCTTGAACCACAGGAGAAAATTCTTTCAGCACCTAACTTCAGTTGGTATTAGGCCAAGGTAAGAAAAGACAACAGTCTACTTTTTTGAAGGAACCTCAGTAAACATCTTGCTGCCAGAAGGCAATGGCCAAGAGGGACAGTTATTAAATAGATTAGGGGCTGGGGACAGCACGGCCAGGGACCCACCGTAGGAGAGGAGAAGGCAGTGTGGAGTGTGTGTCGAGCCCTGGGCTCTTGGGCTCCAAGGGACTAACCCATGTGCTCCCTCCCTATTGTTTCAGATTGCCCAGCTGCCCCTGACTGGCAGCACGAGTATCATCTTTTTCCTGCCCCTGAAAGTAACCCAGAACTTGACCATGATAGAGGAGAGCCTCACCTCTGAGTTCATTCATGACATCGATCGAGAACTGAAGACTATTCAGGCGGTCTTGACCATCCCCAAGCTGAAGCTGAGTTATGAAGGCGAAGTCACTAAGTCCCTGCAGGAGATGAGTATGTCTGCAAGACCACTTTGCTCTTGGGTGGGTGGAGTTGAGCCTTTGAGCTTTCCACCCGTGCTAGGCAGCACTCAAGGGCTCTATGGCTTTGTGGGGAGGCCATGGATGATTCCTTAATTCTAGCAGTGCTGGAGGGGAAGCCTGAACTGCCTTTCTTATCAGACACATTCCTCAGCCCCAAAAGCACGTATCTTGTAACAGAACACTGTCTCTCCACAGGTCTGTTGAGCTGGTTTTTAATCTTTTTTTTAAAGATTTTATTTATTTATTTGACAGAGAGAGACATAGCGAGAGAGGTAACAAAAGCAGGGGGAGTGGAAGAGGGAGAAGCTGACTTCCCCGATGAGCAGGGAGCCCGATGCGGGGCTCGATCCCAAGACCCTGGGATCATGACCTGAGCCAAAGGCAGACGCTTAACGACTGAGCCACCCAGGCGCCCCAGAGCTGGTTTTTAATCTTAACCTCACTTGCTGTGTGCTCTTGGGCAGGTCACTTAAGCCCTACCCAGCCCAGAGGTCTACAGACCTCACCGAGGGTCCAAAGTGGTGACGTACTCCCAGCTTGCCTGCCTTCTTGAGAATCAGGACTCCCATCCAAGTGGACTCTATTCTTTCGAGGGGTGTTGGGTAAGGCAGGGTTTTAATGGAAATCTCTCTCAATTTCTGCAGAACTGCAATCCTTGTTTGATTCGCCAGACTTTAGCAAGATCACAGGCAAACCTATTAAACTTACCCAAGTGGAACATCGATCTAGCCTCGAGTGGAACGAGGATGGGGCAGGCACCACCCCCAGCCCAGGGCTCCAGCCTGCCCGCCTCACCTTTCCCCTGGACTATCACCTCAACCAACCTTTCATCTTTGTACTGAGAGACACAGACACAGGGGCCCTTCTCTTCATAGGCAAAATTCTCGACCCCAGGGGCATGTAATGCTCCAGTAAATAGCCTGGAAGAACAAAACCCTCGAGGGATGGCAGATTACATAGTACATGAAGGCTGCCCCTACAATGTTTCAGTGTATACTTTGCAATAAAAGTGCTTTATCCTTAACTTTTGTTGCCCTGTTCCTCCTTCTGTTCTGAGCTATGTTAAGTTTAATATGAAGATAAATAGCCCTTTCGTGATTTGCTGGTCCTATACTTATAGCCTGGTCTCTCTAAACTCTGCAGAAAGTCACCACTTATAAGAACTTTTAGTTATCTTCACTGTATAATGCAGGGTGGATTCTCTGCTCTGGGAGTGTTTATGTATTAGGGCCACTAATGCTTGCAAGAGGGTATCTCCTGCCCCCACAATCAGTGGGGTATGCTCTTAAATAAATCAAACCTTAGGGCTTTTCTTTTTCTTATTTATTTTATTTTAGAGAGAGAGAGCGCACACACGAGCAGGAGGGGCAGAGGGAGAGGGAGAGAGAATCTCATGCAGACTTCGTGCTGAGTGTGGAGCCTGACGCAGGGCCTGATCTCATGACCCTGAGACCACGTCCTGAGCCGAAACCAAGAATTGGCTGCACCACCCAGGTGCCCCCAAAAACTTTAGCTTGCTTATTTATTTATTTAAAGATTTCACTTATTCATTTGACAGAGAGAGCCCAAGCAGAGGGAGTGGCAGGCAGAGGGAGAGGGAGAAGCAGGCTCCCCGTCAAGCAGGGAGCCCGACGCAGGGCTCGATCCCAGGACCCCGGGATCATGACCTGAGCCGAAGGCAGATGCCCAACCGGCTGAGCCACCCAGGCGCCCCAAAACTTCAGCTTTTCATGCAAGCACAGATATCCCCCAGTCAAGCTAATGTCACCTGACAACACAGGATAACACACGGACAGATAAGAGAGGTGATTTGTAACTTAAGGAAATGTTTCATAAAGCATTTAAGGAAAGCTCCCAAGTACACCTAAAATGGGAACCTGACATGTGAAAATTCTAAACACGTTCTTTTTAAGGAAGCATGCCTATTTTACAGAGTATAAGAGGATCTTTTTTTAGGAACATGAAACATGACAAGTGTTTGGAACAGAATACAGAGCTGTCCTCAGGACTAAATTTTCAAGAAGAAAAATTTATCTCCATGAAAAAAAAAAAAATCTCACTGGCCACTGTCTTGCCACAGTGAATTAGTAGAAAGAAGAATAAATGAGATCCTGCCTGACCTTCACTCACACGTTTGAACGTAAACTGTGTTCTAAACACTAAGTTTCCTGAAAAGGTACTGCCAGACATCTCCAGGCTATTCATTTCCTGATGAGAATGCTGAGGCTAGCAGTGGGGACTTCCTGGGCAGGCCAGGGAGGGCAAGCTCTCAAAGCAGCATGGACCTGACGTTCCTTTCCACTAACTCACTGGAACCAGTGACTCGGTCACGGATGGTGATATGGCAACCAGGATTCAGAACAGAGAGTCTCCTAGCCTTCTGGCCAGGATGGAAATCTAGACTATTGTTCTACACATCCAGGCAGAAAAGAGCTATCACCCCTCCCTTCTGTCGCTCGAGTCTGAAACCACAAGCAGCAATGATTCTATTAGTGTTTGGTCAGCGGGTCTGCCAGAGTACAGAAGGAGAGGCCAATAATAAGGACTGGAAAACTGGTAGGAGACAAATTTAGAGTTGCCATCCCAGGAAGAGACTGCCCAACAATAAAGTGGCCCCATACTTATTTCTCTATTCACAATTTACACTGTACCAGTTTTAACAAAGGATTCGAGAAAGCTAGATACGATAACATGAAATGATGTCTCTAGAGGTAAGGAGCCTCGGTGATTTCTTGCTTTATAATTATTTTTCAATTACAACACAACTACTAAGAGCATAAGTTCCCATTGGAGTGGTACATAACATGTCATTACTACTAGAAGCCATAGGAATGTTCCAGGGAAATAGACTATCATCATTTAGTGAGATGGAGTCTAGCCAAAACCCCAGGCTAACATCCAGATGCCTGCAGATCAGCTAAAATCCTTTTAAAGGGCTTAGGCTCTCCAGACACTAGTTTCAAGTCTTTTCTGGGAACTGGGAGTTTTTACGGGAGGGTAGTTAACTATCTGAAGAAAACCTTGGGTTCCTACACTGAAGGCCCCAATGAGATGGGTGGCGAGTCCAATAAACAAGATTTCATCTTCTGTAGCTCCTGGATCTCATCATTGCAAGGGCCATAGTGAACCATCAGAACCTTTTCTGCCCTCTGTATTGTGTTCAGTGCTTCTGGGATTGCAAACCTGAACCAAAGGAGGTAAAAGGAGTGAAGCCACTCATTCAGTCAAGCAAACATTAATCAACGGCCTACTCCCACCCTGTGAAGAATACAAAATTATCTAAGATCAGTTTGTTCTCAGGGATCTCACAATCTAGAAGGGTAGGGGAGAGACCTTCACAAACACACTGTAAGGCAGAGTTTGAAAACAAAGTTATGAGAAAAAGCATAAAGATTCTAAGGTCCTGAGAAATAGGCAAATCTCAAGGTGTTCAATCTGGGATTTATCCCATGGTCTCCTCAGGAGTCTTCACCTGCAGGTAACCAAGTCCACCCCAGACCTGACTCTGTAGCCCTGTTCTCTTGACCAAATGGGCGACCTCTATGTCTTGGGTATCAGGTCCACAAACCATTCATAATCTTAGGATCGAGCTTCAAACATTGCCTCACCCCAAAGTGCACCAATGGCAGCTTTATCAAGGCTGGAAGGAAGTATTCCATCTAGAAATAGGGCCTCCCAATGACATCAACACCTACTGTTCTTTCCGTTAAACCTTCTGTTAAACCTTCAAAGCAGGGTCTGTCTGCCTTGACACTATTGCCATTTTGGGCCGGATACTTCTGAGCTGTGGGGGGCTGTCCTGTGCATTGCAGGATGTTTACTAGCATCTGGGCCTCCACCCTGAATCATGACAACCAAAAATGTCTCCAGACATTGCCAAATATCCCCTGGGGGCAAAATTACTCCTGGTTGAAAACAACTGCTTTAAAAGGAAAAGGATGGGGGAAGGAAGAGCCCCTGGAGTTGAAGGTGCTGAGAAAGAGGGCAGTGAGGGAGGCGTGAGGAAGCAGAGGGCTAAGGAGAGCTGCCAGGATGCGGGTGGTGGGACCGCCTGGCAACTTCCCCCTAGGAATGTCCCTCCAGTGCTAAGAGCTTTCCCCATATCTCTCAGGAGGAAATTCTAAAGCTTCAAGTTTGTCAGCAAAACAGAAGGAAAGGATCTTTCCTCAAGGGGAAATAAAGGAAGTTTCCACATGCTTAAAAGCACCATAGGAGAAAAGTAACGCCAGAAGAGCCTAATAAAAGACAGTGTGTGGCCTAGAGGGTGTTAGGAAACCAGAGAAAGACTTACCCATTGAAAAAGAGTTGGGCCAGTTTGAAGAGCTCATGGCCCATTTCAACACTGGATGGCCCATGCTGAACCTCAACCACTCGGAGACTCTTCTGGAGATGGGTAGCTGACTTTTGCCAGTCCCCTGTAAAGAAAGAGAAATCTGGTTCCAGAAAAGAACCACAGTCAACTGTGTTGGGTGAGTGTTTTCAGGGTGAGGAAAGCTCAGTGGAAGGTGAGAACAGCTTCAGCTGAAAAGACTGAGAGGAGTCCAACCAGATGAGGCTGGGCTCATGACCAAAAGCATAAGGCAAACGTGGTCCTCGGAGCAGCAGATGAAGACATGTGCCTTACCTAAGGCAGCGTAGGCCTGGGCCAGGGCATCCTCCATCTCTCCTACCATGCTGTGTTCTGCTGACAGGAAGCTCTCAGCGTCGTGCCGGCACCCCAACAACAGCTGAATGGCTTGCTCTATCAATGCAAAGGAAGGTGGCCTCATTCCTACACAAACCCAGGCCTAGAAATGAGAACCCAGCTCTTAAGTTCCATATTGGCTGGGCTGAATGCGGAAATCCCACTTTGTCTCCTTGTTGTGACCGACCCACAATGTTTGTTCCGATAAAGCTGTTGTTCCCTCACAGTTTCTCTTTCAGCAGAAGAGGTGTGAGGTGAGGCCTTCCCACATTGACGCTGGGTTTCCAACTTCAAGTGGCCTAGATTCCACTTACGATCATCATTTCTCTTGACTCAGAAATCTAAGTTAAAGGTCAACTTTTACAAAGTCGGGTAAATAAATTCCTATGACATCAAGTTCTAAGGCAGAATTTGTAAGGATAATGTGGAGTTCCACAAGTCTCTCTGAAAACAGCAGGCTACTTCTATCCACTGGGCACTTGTTCCACTGCTCTCTAGAAGAGATGGGGCTCTGAGGAGAGCAGACCAATCTCTCTAGGAAATTAGGTCATTAGGCCCTGGAATTAAAATAAATGACACAGAACTTCTGGATCTGCACAAAGACCACGGATGTCAGAGATAACCCTTTAGTCATCACGGGGTACTTTAACTTCGCTCCCTGACCCCCAGGAGAACAACAGCTTAAATCATCTGGCCCTTTTCAAGGACACCACACAAACTCAGCCGGTTAGGGCTCGGGCTCATTGGCCTGCATAGCCATCTTGTGGCTGGCATGGGGATAATTAAATGTAATTCTTCTATCATCACTGAGTAGCCTCGAGTCCAAGGTGAACCCAGAATAAATAAAAAGGGACGGGCTGGAGGACCAAAGCAGGGAGCCAGTCTCACCTAGTTGACCACTTGTGAGAAGCTTCCGGGCCTGCCCAACCTGCTGCTGAAGGTCCTGTAACCGGGAGATGAGGTGATCCCTGCTGACTGATTCCGTACAGGACGTGCTGCCACAGCTCAGAACGTCACCTCCCTGTGAAAGTCAGTTTGTCTTTAGTCCTGTACCACAGTCGGTTAGCAACACGGCATGTGTTTTACATTATAGGGTCGCTCTGCAGCTTCCGACCCTATGGGGCAGAGACGTCCCTACTAATACACCATGACCAAAGCCTGACTCAACTGGGTTTGGCAGCAGCAACGCTAATGAAAGCAGTAGGCGGTCCCTCCCGGAGACTTAATTTTTGCAACCAAAATTAAACTGGTACAGGTCAGTTTCTTTCCATCTCTATACCCCTCCCCTGTGTCTCTGGATCCAGAACTTTGGATGACAGACATATTTCTAGCGTTTATGAAGAAGCCATTAGTATAGAGTTGTTAAATCACTCTGTTATGCACCTGAAATTAATGTGACATTGTGTGTCAACTGTACTTCCATTAAAAAAAAGCAAAAGCCAGGGGCACCTGGGTGGCTCAGTCGGTTAAGCGTCCAACACTCGGTTTCGCCTCAGGTCCTGATCTCAGGGTCATGGGATCGAGCCCTGCATCGGGCTCCATGCTCAGTGCGGAGCTTGCTGGAGATTCTCTCTCCCTTTGCTCTGGCCCTTCCACTTGTGCTCTCTCTCTCTAAAATAAATAAATAGGGATGCCTGGGTGGCTCAGTTAAGTGTCTGCCTTCAGATCAGGTCATGATCCCAGGGTCCTGGGATCGAGTTCTGAAATCGGGTCCTTGCTCAGCGGGGAGTCTGCTTCTTCTTCTGCCTGCCGCTCCCCCGCTTGTGCGCGCGCTCTCTCTCTGACAAATAAAATATTAAAAAAAAAAATAAAATAGGGGTGCCTGGGTGGCTCAGTCGTTAAGCGTCTGCCTTCGGCTCAGGTCATGATCCCGGGGTCCTGGGATCAAAACCCGCATCGGGCTCCCTGCTCCGCGGGAAGCCTGCTTCTCCCTCTCCCACTCCCCCTGCTCGTGTTCCCTCTCTCGCTGTGTCTCTCTCTGTCAAA